TTGAACCCTGGGCCTGAGCGCTGTCCCTCAGCATTCCGCTCAAGGCAAGTGCTCTACCACTTGAGCTACCTTGCCACTTCCGGTTTTCTGGTGGTTTATTGGAGATAAGAGTTTCATAGACTTTCCTGCCCAGGCTGGCTTTGAACTGTGATCCTCAGATCTCAGCCCCCTGAGTAGCTAGGATTACAGGCGTGACACCGGCGCCCGGCTCACTTGGCCTCTTATCTCCAATGAACCACCAAAAAACCAGAAGTGGAACTGTGGCTCAGGTGGTAGAGAATACCAAGCCTTGAGTAAGAAAGCTAAGGGACAGTGCCTGGGCCCTGAGTTCAAGCCCCAGTACTAGCAAAAGAGAGGGAGAGAAAAAACGGAGAGGGAGATGGAAAGAGAGAGGGAAAGGGAGAGGGAAGGAGGGAAGGAGAGCACTGCTGTCAGTGCCACAAAAACACTGCTCAGCCAAGGCAGGACAGAGACGTGGGTGGCAGTAGAGGAAATGGAGCGCGTGGCAGGTGGTAGGGTGGAGGTGGGCACAGAGAGACTGGCAGAATAATAGAATCCACATAGAATCCGTGCCAATCCCCTGGCCACATAGAATCCGTGCAATTCCCTGGCCTGCCTCCTTGCTGCTCCAGCTGTTCCACCTGGAGCCCTCTCTACCGACAGCCAGGTGGCTTCCTTCTTCTTCCTCGTTTCCTGGGGTTTCTACTGAAATCTCACCCCGTCTGAGCTGCCCTTCCTCCTCCTTATGCACAGCACGACTTGCCATCTCACATGCTATTTGTGGTCTTCATTGTCTCCTTTAGAAACAAACTCCAAGAACATTTTGCTCACACAATCACTACCACATAGAACATTGCTTCATGTGCAACAGGAGACAGACAGACAGACAGACAGGCAGACAGAGATAGAGACAGATATAATTTTTGTGTGTATGCCGCTCCTGGGACTTGAACTCAGGGTCTGAGTGCTGGACACATAGCTTTTTTTTTTATTGTGAAAATACCGTACAAAGGGATTACAATTACATGGGCAAGATAGTGAGTACATTTCTTATCAAGCATTGTTGCCTCCTCCTTTGTTTCCCCTTACCATCCTTTTTTTTTTTTTTTGTCGGTCGTGGGGCTTGAACTCTGGGCCTGAGCACTGTCCTTCAGCTCTTCAGCTCAAGGTGAGCGCTCTACTACTTGAGCTACAGCGCCACTTCTGGTTTTCCAGTGGTTTATTGGAGATAAGAGTCTCATGGAGTTTCCAGCTCTGACTGGCTTTGAACCACAATCCTCAGATCTCAGCCTCCTGAGTAGCTAGGATTATAGGCCTGAGCCACTGGTGCCTGGCCAGGCAATTAACTTTTTCACTCAAGGCTAGCACTTTATCTCTTGAGCCATAGCTCTACTCCCAGCTTTTGGTGGTGGTGGAAGAGTTTCAGGGACTTTCTTGCCCAGGCTGACTTTAAACAGAAATCCTCAGATCTCTGCCTATTAAGTTACGCATGTGAGCCACTGACACCTGGTGAGGCAGAATTTCTATGAAGATATAAAAGTATACAAATCGTGTGTGTGTGTGTGTGTGTGTGCGCGCGCCAGTACCGGGCCTCTTATTCTCTCTTGGCTTTTTTGATCTCAAGGCTAGAACTCTACCACTTGTGCCACACTTCTACTTTTAGCTTTTTGCTGGATAATTAGATCTCAGCCTCCTGAGTAGATGGGATTACAAGCATGGACCACAGGTCATTGGGCTCAAAAGTACACAAGTTTGTGTTTTTTTGTTATTATAAAGGTGTATTATAAAGGTGGGGTTACAGTTACACCAGTCAGGTAATGAGTACATTTCTTTTTGGATGTCACCTCTTCCCTTGCTGTCTCTCAGTTTTTCCTTCCCAATCCTACCCATAAATTGCATAGTTCATTTTCCACCACTGCATTTGTTCACCCTTTGTTCCTCCATTTCTGGACCTTCCCTTACCCTCCCAAAGACAGATAAACCAACAAAACAAAAAGATAAACCAACAAAAAGACAGATAACCCAACAAAACAAAAAGAAAAAAATCTGGTTTCCATTTCCTGGAGTTCACTTTGAAAAGTACTTTACGTGATCAGAGGCACATAGGCACGGAGCCTTTGTGTTCCTCCCTAGACTAAGCTCCCGTGGTGTCACTGTGTTTGAATGTCTGGCGTCCTGTATCATTTATCATGTCCCGGTATATTTTAGATCTAGCTTCTGCATATGAGAGAAAACTTGCCTTTTGTCTCTCTGAGCTTGGCTTACATCACTTAACATGATTTGTTCTAGATCCATCCATTTTCCTGAAAACGATGTCATATTATTCTAATGGCTGTGTAAAGTTCCAGTGTGTATAGCTACCACATTTCTTGGATCCACTCATCTAGTGTAGGGAATACACAGTCTTTTTTTTTTTTTCAATGGGTCTGGTCGTGGGGACTGAACTCTGGGTCTGGGCGCTGTCCCTCAGCTCTTCAGCTCAAGGCTAGTGCTCTACCACTTGAGCCACAGTGCCATTTCCGGCTTTTTTCTTATGTGGTGCTGAAGAATCGAAACCAGAGCCCCATGCATGCAAGGCAAGCGCTCTACCACTGAGCCACCTTTCCAGCCCAGAATACACAGTCTTAAGTGCACAACTGAGTATGTTTTTACCTACCACAGTTCCAGCTATAGTGTATTTCCAGATGCCTCTTATGGCCTACGAGTCTCCCCACCACTTAGATTATTTTTATACTGATTTCCACCATCACTGATTAGTTTTGCCTATCCCTGAACTCTATTGAAATGAATAACATCATCTGGTACACTGTTTTTGTTTGGCTTCTTTTGCTCAAGAAGACATCTGCAAGATATGTGCAAGAAGTTTGTTCTTCCAGCTGTTCTTCTATCACACGTAGGCTACCGTGTGTGCCCATTCCTCGTTGAGGCAGACGGGGAGCACTCTGCACATGTCTATTGGGGCTTTACTTCCTTTGGGGGATTTAAGGAGTGCAAGTGCTGAATTGCAGGGAAAATGGGTGTTAACAGACTAAACAAGAAACTGTAGCCATGTGCCAGTGGCTCATGCCTGTAATTCTAGCTACTCAGGAGGCTGAGATCTAAGAATCGTAGTTCAAAGCCAGCCCAGGCAGGAACATTTGTGAGACTCTTATCTCCAATTAACCACTAGAACACTGGAAGTGGCACTGTGGCTCAAGTGGTAGAGCACTAGCCTTGAGCTGAAAAGCTCAGGGACAGCACCCAGGCCCAGAGTTCAAGCCCTATGACTGACAAAACAAAATGAAACAACAAAAAAAAAAAACCTACAGTTGTATGCTGGTGGCTCATGCCTGTAATCTTAGCTACTCAGGAGGCTGAGCTCTGAGGATCATGGTTCAAAGCCATCCCAAACAATAAATCTAGTATTTATTTAGCTAGTATTATACTCATGAGTCACCGGCGCCTGGATTTTTTTTTAACATATCAATTCTCTTCTCCCCATCTTGTCCCTTGATCCTCTCCTGTCTAGAAGCCTGAAATCTTCTCCCCTCCCTCCCCTCTGAAGTCTGTAGTCTTCATTTTTTTCTTCAGTGCTAGAGATGGAACCTAGAGCTTTACACAAGCTGAACAAACATCTACCATATACTTCTCTTTCAGTCCCTTCATAACCCAGGTGAGGCTTATCTGGAGTTTCTCACCTCAGCTCTGTGAAGGTCCCATGGAGCTGGACTTCTCTCCATTGGTGGCACTGGATGTCTGTCCTCTCTCTGGATGGCTCATCTAGGTGGCCTGGGGTAGCCTATGCAGGCCCTCCCTACTCTCTGCTGAGGTCACCTGCTCTCCAGGTCTATACACCTGCCCTAGGCCTCCAAGTCCACATACCCATTTGACATCCTCAGTAGCCCAACAGACACCCCAAATTCATCCCAACCAAACTGATTGTAAGGGAAAATTCCTCTCCTTTCTCCCATGTTTCCCAGCTTGGAAACAGCCCCATCCCTACCAAAGGGCTGCAGAAAAGAACCAGGGAAAGGTTCTTATGGATTCCCACCCTCTACCCTTGTGCTCAGTCAAGCCCACGGTCAAAACAGGCCCAGTCTCCCCATATACTCTCTGCCTCATCGTACTCTGACCACTGCCACCCTCACCTGCGCTCTCAGGACGTCACTGAGGTCCCTGGATATCTCTGGCAGGAAGAAGCCAGTGACCTCATCAACACCGGAAGGAACCCAAGGCCTCCCTAGCTCCAAGAGTTTGAGAGAAATGTTTCTGGACCCAGGGGGGCAATGTAGCAGCCACCTCCAGGCTGCTCAGAAATGAGCATGGACAGACAGACTCCTCCATTCAAAAGCTGTGGTCAAAACCACCCCCTCCTGCTCCTTCCCACAAGCTCTCCATCGTGCTGAGTGCAAAGTTCCACAGTTTTCACGACATACTTTCTTTTTTTTAGGTTCAAGACCAGGATTCCATCTTGGTACCTGCCGCTTTCACTCATTGGCTGGCCCTCTACCAACTGAGCCACACCTCCAACCCCTCCTGTCTCTTTTTTTTTTTTTTTTGGGTCCGGTTGTGGGGCCTGAACTCTGGGCCTGGGCGCTGTCCCTCAGCTCTTCAGCTCAAGGCTAGCGCTCTACCACTTGAGCCACAGAGCCACTCCAGCTTTTTCTTTTTGCTTATGTGGTGCTGAGGAATCAAACCCAGGGCCTCAGGCATGCAAGGCAAGAGCTCTACCACTGAGCCATCTTCCCAGCCCCCTCCTGTCTCTTTTAAGGGCAGCCCAGGGAAAGGCAGAGGCCTGCCCCAGGTCACACAGAACAATGGGAAGCTGTCTACCCAAAGAGCTAGCACCTACTGGCTCAGGCCCTCAGCCACACCCCCATCTTCCTTTCTTCAATGCCTTGGGGCTGCCCAGCACCACCATGGTGACCAGTCTCCCCATTTGACACCATTTTCCCTCAGCCACTGTTAGCCCCCACTAACCCTGACCCCAGCAGGTAATGATGGGAAAGCAACCACAAAGCCCTGAACAAAGGCTGGGAAGACACAGGCTCTTTCATTATTTTTTTTAATAAATTTAAGAACAACTCCATCCTTTCTCCTCCCCCCAGAATAACTAAAACCAACTAAAAGGGGGTACAGCCAGAAGGCGCTAGGAATCATAGTCTTCTTCATCCTCTGCATCAGGTGCTGATGGGCCTGGGGGTGCCGGAGGCAAAGGCAGAGGAGAGGTGAAGGGCATAAACGGGGTCGGAGGGCTGCAGAGCAGAAAGTAGGAAAATCAGGCAGGCTCCCAACCCATTCCAACCCCAGGGAGCTCATACTCTGTAAAAATAGAAGCTATGGCCTACAGCAGATCAAACTGTCCTAATCCAGGTCCACCCACTGCCCCTGATCAAGGTGAAGACCTTCCCAGAGAACAGTCTCCTGGTCTTAAGATTTTCTCAGGAGCTAGAGGTATGACTCCAGTGGTAGAGCACCTGCTTAGCAAATGTGAGGCTCTAGTTTGAACACTGGTACCTCTAAAAAGAAAAAAAAAATTCCACCCTCTCCATCTGTCCCCTCTGACCCCCAAGTCTACCACACCCAACACCACCAAGTGGCCATGGGAGATGAGAGGGAAAAAACAAATGGCTCTGGGGAGTCTGGGAGCCCCTTCTTGGTGTTCCTGAGCTGCTTACCTCTGAAAGTGGGCAGGAGGGTGGCTGGCTTGGGGTGGAGGCAGTGGTGTGTCTTCTTCCCCATCAGTATCTGTGTCTTCAGACTCATCCTGTGAGCACAACAGGGGTGAAGTTGACAAGAAAAGGAAGGGAGCCAGGTGCTGCTGACTCACACCTCTCACACCTATAATCCTAGCTACTCAGGAGGTTGAGATCTGAGGATCATGGTTCAAAGCCAGCCCAATTAACCACCAGAAAACCAGAAATGGTGCTATGGTCCAAAGTAGTAGAGCACTGACCTTGAGCATAAAAGCTCAGGGATAGCGCCCAGGCCCTGAGTTCAAGCACCATGACCACCACCACCAACAACAACAAAAAGGAAGCAAGCAAGAAAAGGCAGGGATCTATCAATGGGGAGCCCAAAGTCCTGAAAGTGGCAGAGACAGAAAGAGACCCTTCAGAGACCCAGAAAGCACGGGGGCCACAGATAAGGATGACAGGAGGCCTCCAGCCAGCTCAGCTTCCCCTCACCATGAGGGGAAGACTGAGAGTTGGGGGTGAGGGAGCGGGCTTCACTTACCTCCTGTTCTGAGTCTGTCCCCGATAACTTCTTGTCTTTGCCTTTGCTTCCCATTCCACCATTTTTCCGGCCGCTGCTGCCTGGCTTCCGACCCCTTCAAGAAGGAACAATATCTGCCTTAAGGGCCTCTCCCTGCTCCTGACTCCCTCTGAAGCCCCCAACCCTGTTCTCTCCCACCTGCCTATTTGGCTCCGGCCACCCACCTGCGAGGACCTTTGTCCCCATCCATGTGGTTGTCTTCCCCATCCCCCTGCATGTCAGGCACGGATGCCACCAAGTCCTTCAAGAAGTCAAACTTTTGCTCCAGTTCGATGCACTGTTTCCTGGGAAAGGTGGGAGGGACAGACCCTCAGGAACCCTCCCCATCTCTGCCCGGCCTCGGGGCCCCTCCCGGTGGGGACACCGCCTCCCAGCGGCTCCTCCCGGCTCCCAGGCCACTCACAAGTGGGATGTGGTCATGGTCTTGGCGTTCCGGGACTGGGTCACCTGGCAGGCCTTCTTCAACAGCGACTCCAGGAAGAGTTCGAGCGCCCGGGCTGGTGGGGTGTCAAGGAGGACTCGGGAAAGGGGAGTGTCCCAGGCCCTCCCCACGCCCCTCATCGCGGCCAGCCTCCCCCCCCCCCCGGGCAGGATACAGATGATGACAGGCACCGCCGCCGCCACCTTCCCAATCTCTTCGTCCGTCTGCATGATCTTCTTGATCCTGGCCTACGAAAGGGGGCAGTGTTCGGGCGCTGTCGCCGGCGTCCCTAATGGGATGTTGAGGGGCGGGGAGGGGTACCCCGGGAGAAAGGGGGCGGGGGGCACCGGGCCAGGAGGGCCCCGGAGGGGGCGGGGCATCAAGGCCTCCAACACCCGAAG